AAAAGAGCTATGGGCTGATGTAGAGGAGACATATTCCACACAAGACAACTCTTCTGCCTTGTTCAAAGTAGAGTCAAAACTCTTCAACTTCAAACAAGGGACAATGAGTGCTACAGAGTACTACAACCGATTAGTCCGAAGCTAGCTTCAACTTTATTTGTATGAAGCTCAGAAATGGGAAACGACGGCTGATGCAAAAACGTTTCAGATGTTTGTGGAAAAGAAGCGAACAATTCAGTTCCTCCTTGGCCTCAACCAAAATCTGGATGCAGCTAAAAGCAAGATCATGGGAACAAAGCCTTTCCCGAGTTTGAAGGAAGCGATTGCTGAAGTGTTGAGGGAGGAAGGTCGTCGCCATCTTATGCTTGTAGAGTGAAAGTCCACCTCAGATAACTCAAGCTCTGCCCTAACACCAGAAACAACGACAACACTTGTTTCTCAAAATAACCGGGGAAAGGGAAAACCGAGAACCAACTCGGATGCTGCAGCAAAATGGTGCAAATTTTGCAAGCAACAATTTCATACGAAAGATGAATGTTGGGAGATCATCGCCGGACCACCCGGTTGGAAATCTAAGATGGGTCGCCAAAAAGGTCGTGCTAATACAGCTACCAGCGAGGGTACAGGGGAAGATGGTAATTTTTCTTAGGGACAATTGGAAGCTCTTCAGAAAATATTCACTCAGGTACTTCAAGCTGAGTCGAAACCAAAAGGCTACATAACTCAGTTATTTGAAAAACCAGGTAATCCTCAAGCTTACACTTCACAACATAATTCTAAGACTACATGGATCCTAGATTCAGGTGCTACGGATAATATGACGGGTTGTAAGGACCTAATACAAAACTTACAGCCCTATCCTAAGACAACAGGGGTCCATATTGCTGATGGGACCATTGCTCCGGTAGAGGGATTTGGTACAATTAGGGCCACAAAGGATTTCACTCTCTGTTCTGTGTTATATGTCTCGAAACTTGATTGCAACCTCCTATCTGTTCCTCGAGTGACTCATGATCTGCAGTGTGAAGCTAAGTTTTCCTCCAATGGTTGTGTGTTGCAGGAAGTGGAGACGAGGAGGACGATTGGTAGTGGTGAACTATGTGATGGACTATATCTCTTGAGAGGCACCGCTGATGTGGAGCATCATTATGGAGATAGTCGTAGTGCAAATGTTTTTTTCTAGCATAGAGAACATTGAGAATAAAGCCCTTTTGTGGCATTGTAGGCTTGGACACCCTAGCTTTCCTTACCTTGAGAAGTTATTTCCAGCATTGTTCCGGAATAAAAATTCGAAGGATTTTCAATGTGAAGTGTGTCAACTTGCTAAGCATACTCGTTCTGTGTATCCGAGAATTGGCTATAGACCTACCAAACCTTTTAGTGTTGTCCATAGTGACATATGGGGAGCTATGAAAACTCGAAACATCAATGGTGCCAAGTGGTTCATCACCTTCATTGATGATCACACTCGGTTAACTTGGACGTTTTTGATGAAAGAGAAATCCGAGACAACTAGTACATTTCAGACCTTCCACACCATGGTGACTACTCAGTTTCAAACCAATATTCAGGTATTGAAAACTGATAATGCTCATGATTAATTCAACCGGACTCTTGGGACAATTCTGCAGACACACGACATCATACATGCTAGTTCTTGCGTCGACACGCCCCAGCAAAATGGCATTGCTGAACGCAAGACCAAACATTTGCTTGATGTGGCACGTGCACTCATGTTTACTCACCATGTTCCTAAGCATCTATAGGGAGAGGCTGTTCTTACAACAACCTATCTTATCAACCGGATGCCTAATAGGGTCTTACAATTCCAAACCCCGCGACATGTTCTTCTAGACATATATCCCCACATAAAGAGCTATTCTTCCGACCTCCCTCCTAAGGTGTTTGGTTTCACAGTTTTCATCCACAACTCTGCCCCAAATATGTCGAAGTTGGATCCGAGATCTCTAAAGGGGGTCTTTATTAGTTACTCATCTACCCAAAAAGGCTATAAGTGTTTAGTTCCGCATGCTCGAAGGTTCTACACTTCTCGTGATGTCACTTTTTTTGAGTCACAACCCTTTTTCCCCACGACTATGCCTCAGGGGGAGAGTTCTATTGATTCTGCTAGTTCGAGCTATATACAACATCCCGGGCAATAACTCCTTTTGGATCTCATTGCCTTGGATACTGGCTTTGATGACACCCCTACATCAATTCAGGGGGAGCAACCAGCAGGGGAGAAACAAAAGAAACCTAGGTTGGTATATCAATGGCGGAACAATCCTACAGTATCAAACGAGGAAGAGGAGATGGCTGCAGAATCAGATTTGTCAAAAGATACTAGACCTGCAGAATCAGATCTGGAAAAAGACACTAATGCAAATTCAGAACAGGACACTAATGCTAGTTCAGAAGAGGACACTAGTGCAGATCATGATGTGGTATTAGAGGAACTTGAAGATAATACTACAGAGTAGGTGTCATTGACATACTTATAGCCGTTAGAGAGGGAGTACGAAACTGTACAAAGTACCCTAAGTATCCTATTGCTCGACATGTCAACTATGACCATCTCAGCAAATCTCACAGAAGTTTCATATCTGCTCTAGAGGAGGAACAAATACCAAAAAATATTCATGAAGCAATGAAACACCCAAAGTGGAGAGCTGCAGTCATGGAAGAACTAAAGGCATTGGAAGAAAATGTTACTTGGGATATTGTATCCCTTCCTATAGGGAAGAACACTGTTAGTTGCAAATGGATATTCACAATCAAATATAAGGCAGATGGTTCAATAGAAAGATACAAGGCAAGATTAGTTGCAAGAGGATTTACTCAAGAACATGGTGTGGACTATGATGAGACTTTTGCACCAGCGGCAAAGCTTAATACAGTAAGAGTCATTCTTTCTCTTGCCGTGAACCTTGATTGGCCATTACATCAACTCGATATTAAGAACGCTTTCCTCAATGGCGATCTGACTGAAGAAGTTTACATGATGTTTCCTCCTGGAGTGAAGAATCCAGTAAAGGGACAAGTCTGTAAACTAAATAAGGCCTTATATGGATTGAAGCAATCACCACGTGCATGGTTTGATAGGTTCACCAAGGCTGTCAAACATGGGGGGTACTACCAGTGTCAAACAGATCACACTCTGTTTGTGAAACACTCACCTACTATGAAAGTATCAATCCTGATAGTATATGTGGATGATATTATAATTAGTGGAGATGATACATAAGAAATAGTCAGACTGAAAGCTCAGCTTGCAAAGGAATTCGAGGTAAAAGATCTAGGAAACCTGAAATATTTCCTAGGAATGGAGGTGTCAAGATCTCGAAAGGGAATTGTGATTTCTCAACGAAAATATGTCTTGGACTTACCCAGGGAGGTGAGAATGCTTGGATGTAAGCCAATTGATACACCCATGGAGCAGAACAAAGTGTTGAGTAGGAGTCAGGACATTCCATTAGTGGAGAAGGGAAGCTACCAACGTCTAGTAGCTAAGCTTATATATCTTGCTCACACTCGACCTGACATTACATTTGCTGTTGGAATTGTGAGTCAACATATGCAATGTCCAAATGAAGAGCATATGGCGATGGTAATCAGGATCCTAAGATATCTTAAAGGTTCCCCAGGGAAAGGAATTCATTTTAAGAAAACGACTCAGAGAAGGATATCCGTGTACAGTGATGCTAGTTGGGCTGGAGAACTCACTGAAAGGAGGTCAGTTACTGGCTACTACAGTTATGTTTGGGGAAATCTGGTCACTTGGCGAAGCAAGAAACAGAAGGTTGTAGCCTGAGGTAGAGTATAGAGCCTTAGCACTTGGCATATGCGAGAGTATCTGGTTGAAATGAGTTCTAGAGGAGTTGAAGATTACTCATGAAAGTCCTATGAAGCTATTGTGTGACAGTCAAGCTGCCATTAGTATTGTTAGGAATCCAGTCCATCATGATCAAACCAAGCATGTGGAAGTGGATCGTCACTTTATCACCGACAATGTCAATGTTGGAATGGTTCACGTGGAATATGTCCCATCAAGACAACAGACTGCCGATGTATTTACAAAGGCATTGTCTAGAGACATGTTTGAGGCTCTAATGAGCAAGTTTGGGTTGATTAACATCTACACCAAGGGTGAGGGGGAGTGTTGAATGATATATGAGCTGTTAGCGTGTAATCATAGACAACAGTAACAGCTGGTCCTAATCTAAATATAGAAAGATTTGATCTAGGATATATTCCAATTAAGGTAGGTCTCTCCTAACCTGGCCTATATATATGATTTTCCTCTATGTAAATCACAAGATCAATATATGAGAAGTAGATTTCTCTAAACCCTACTGTGTTCTTGTTCTCTCTCAAACTTTGATAAACTGTATCATTCAAGACTATTCATTCCTTGCTTCTCAAGTCACCAGAAAATAGAAAGACTCCTTGCTCTTTCTGGAGTTCAATCTCTTCTTGGTTTGGGATGACTTGTATCTCTATCTCATTGTTCACTGCCTTCTAATTCCCATATGTATAGAGAGAATATATTGAAACTGACGGATCAAGTTTAAGTCCATAATTTTTATCTTGTTTTTCCCTTGTTTAGATTAAGGTTGATGAGGAATTTTACAATGCTATATAGCATTGGTGCTATAGATTTTTACCTTTATAGTACAACTTGAAATTGTACCTTTAATGTTATGGTACAACTTCAGGTTGTACCTATACTTTTTATACAAATTCTTTTATGGTACTAATTAAACTTGTACCTTATGTGATGGTACAACTTCAAGTTGTAAAGTTGTACCATAACATAATGATACAAATTCCTTTATGGTACAACCTAAACTTATACATTTAATGTTATGGTACAACTTCAAGTTGTACATTAAAGCACCAATACTATATAGCATAGTAGAAGTGCTCTAAGGTTGATATGGTTATCAAATCTCCTGAGAAATGGATGGTTGGGGGTGAACATTGATGATTGAGATTGATTGAATTAATAGAACATTTCATTCTTTTTTTGGTGGGTTTTGTTATGGAATGAGTATACAATTCCAAGTGGTGAGTACCAACCTGCTAATCCACATCTAGTCACCTGTAGCCACTCACTAATCATTGTGATGTATGAGAACTGAAGCATAATTGATATTGCAATTATGGTACTGATATTTATTAATAACTATCATTATGTACCTGGATTAGGATTTCCATACAGGACACTTGCTTTGTTTAATCATTCATCAGGAGAGACAACACTGGAGCATACAAATTGATCTCCCCCAAAAACAAAAAGAAAGGAAAACTTGTGGAGGGGGGTGGAATAAACTCCTCTGCACTTATGGTTAACAGAAACTAACCAAAAAGAAGAAAAATGGGCAGAGAAGGTTTACATGAAAGGTGTAAACTTTTGCTTTCACACTAACACTTTGCAAAATTCCTCTCCCACAGAGAAAACATCTTCTTCAAGCTCTCGAGACCTCGAGGGAAACGAAGTGTTCATCATCGTTGACTGATGAAGCAGCAGCAACAGCATTAGCAGTTGGTAAATCAGCCACCTTGTCATCCCCACTGCCCGGTTGCTGGTCTTTGCTCTTCCCCCACAGCACAATGTACAATCCTAAAACTATAACTATCGTCCCCAGGATCCTTCCCATGTACAGAATCTCGGATAAGAAAATCGAACCCAAGATTGTGACTATCACCATGCTCAGAGGGCTAAACGCTGTCACGAAAACCGGGCCCTTGGTCTTCAACACCATTCCCTGTATGTAGTATGCCATTCCTGAACATATCACTCCCTGCATTGACACAACATTTGGTAGAAAGTAACTAAGTAAGTAATCTGAACAAAGTTCCTTAACAGCTTCAATGTACAGAATTTGGCATTTGGGACTCACACTATAAGCAGCAGCTAATAACTTGGTGTCTAAGCCAATGGCCCAAGCAGAAGGGTTCCCCCATTCCATCCCAATGGCCAAAACCGAGCCCTCGATCGTTCCCATCATGCAGATCAAAGCTGTTAATGAGAGCTCAGCCGGGTACGATTTCAAAGTGATTGTCTGAAGAATGACAAAACCAGCCCAGGAAATGCAACCAATTGCTAGCATAACTGCACCCTTGACAGGATCCTGAGCAACTGCTGAAGTCGTGGCGGCTTGAACCCCTTCAGTCCATGGAAGATCAACCCTAGCACCTTTAATCAAGGTCATCAACATGGCTCCTCCCACTGTCACTATTGTGCCCAGAATTTTTGCCTGGCTGTGCACCTTCTTCAGGTTAACTGACTCAAGCCTGTGAGTACATAACAATAATAAAAACCTCATTATTAACCACAGTGGCAGAAGTGTCACAATGCATATATAGTATTCATAAAAGAAACTCATTATCATCTTGTTTTTCTTACCTCAGGGCCCAAGCCATGAGGAATGCAAAGGCAGGGACAACATTGACCATAGCAGCAGCAAATGTTGCAGATGTATACTTCATGCCTGTATAGTACAAGTTCTGATCGATCGTTGGCCTGTAATTAACACGAATGCAAACATATATCATCGATTAATTAATACGCGCTTTGAGGTTAGCTAATTACTGGTTTGAGTAAAGAAAGTAAGATAAAAGGGGTTGCTGTTATTGATGATCTTACTCCAACAAGCCAAGGAGTGCAACCTTGAAGAAGATCCCCCAAGTCAACTTAGGCCTCACCTTCCTGTCATTCCCCAAACGTTTCATTAGTTAGCTTCCTCATGAAGAAATATAAGAACCTACACTAGAGAGATCTACATGTAAGTTGCATATAAGAACCTGTCAAAGATTAGAGCAAAGGGGGCAATAACAGCAGTGGCGATTGCGTGTCGATAGACAACGAGGACGTGTTGGCTCATCCCTCGGTCGAGAGCAAACTTGGAGATGATGGACATTCCAGCATACCCAAACTGCATGAAAATCACAGCCAGAAATGGCCTTGCTTGGTTGCAGAACTTTGATGACCAGCACTCCATTTTGAAGGAACGGTGGTGACTTGTGGCAAAAGGTACTATAGCTTCTGCCCTCTAGTCTCTATCTCTCTAGTGTAATGGAAGTAGAAGCTGGTGAGTAAAAGAAGCAAGTAGAGGGAGGTTTATATAGAACAAGTTTTCTAGTGGGTTTTCTGGTTTTTGCTTTTTTCTTTTCTTTTGAGGTTTGTTTTGGCATTGATTAGAACATTGCCAACACGGCTTTGTTTGGGTTGATTAGAACATTACCACTACCCTTATCTAATTAAATCAAGTTAACTATCTGTGATCCATATGGACATTTTTCCATTAATGTTAACAAAAGCATCAGGAAAACCAGTTTTCTTTCCCTAATCCAGAGTTAAAAGTGAAAAGCAAAGATGAGCTCATAAGTTGTTTACCCCCCACAAATGAATATTTGTGTTACTATTATGAGATAGTGTCTGAAATCAAATTAGTTAAATAAATACGTAGTAATGAGAGAGGTACATATGTAGTGGAGAAGATTGCCATGAGTAGATTCATGGCTTAGGCTGATGTTCCATTGATTCGAAGTAATTATAATATTATCACAATATACCGTCGTGGATTGCGGTCATCATGGTTTGATCCCGTTTTGGACCAGACCAGATCATCATGGTTTGATCCGGTTTAGATTCCTATCCACCCACATGCATCCACAATTTCGAGAGCGAACAGGTGGCTGCAAATTTGAGTAGGGATGGCAAAAAAGACCCATTATTTGGGTACTTCTCGAAATCCAATATATTATGGGTCAAATCAATTTTGCGTAATTTTACTTTTGGGCAGACCTATATCCAACTATTTTAGTCTGGTCTGAATTGCACTCATATTATTGGATATCCAAAAGAAAATGAGTATTTCAATTCTAATGCAATTTTTGTCTTTTTATTTATGAAACAAGCAGAAAGGTGGAAACACCAACATTAAAGATATAATTGGATTGAAGGCAGTTAATGAGATTACCGATATTGTTTTTTGTGTGTACAATCATATGCATTCAAACAGAGTCATTTGGGTACTATGAACAAAACTTGTTAACCCAAATTGAACCCAACCTAAATTCAAAATCATTAAAAGTGAATTTGAATATATTTAAGTCTGACCCAAACCCATATAAGTCGTGACGGTTGGATCAAATTACCCAAAAAATCAAACCATTATCAATTCCTTAATTTAAGAGACTCATCAAATAGCAAATGCACTAGTTTTAAGGGACCTTAACAGACAAATATCATCCAGATGTGGCATATATTTGTTATGTTTTTATATCTAACTACACTTCCACTAGCTAATGTAGCTTAGAATTCGATGATGAGAAAAGCAAAAGGCAAGTGGTTGCTGATGCGGCCGGCCGGCGGGGGTTCTCGTTGGCCAGCGTGTTTCTCAATAGGAATTTTACTTCATGATGCAGATATTGAGAGAAGACGTTTGATGGAACTGCACAATTCGATCTCTTCTAGCTCTATAACTCCTCTGTGTCTCTGCTGCAGAGGGATGGATTCTTTTGGGGTTCTCATTTTATATGTTGGCCACTCAAACAAACCAAAAAAAAAAAATGGAATAACTCGAGTTATTAGTAGAAGATTAACTACAAATTTATGTGTAAGACTCAAATTCGAATTTTGGTATTGAGCGATTGGAAAGAAAAATTGGGTTTAGGGTTTGGAAGAAAAATTGGGGAATGGGAATGTAATTGGGATTTAATTTTAGGTTATAATTATATTTATTATGTTTGAATCATTTGAGCAAATGAATTGTAGTATAATGGTGTCTCCTAAATACAAGGATTGTAAAACGCGATTTTAACTAGCTAGTCGAGTCAGTGATATTATATTTTTATGTTGAAGTCATGGTTCAACCGTTTCATGTCGGTAAACACCATGCACCATATCCCTCTCCAACTTGCACTACAACGTCGTAGCTCGATCCGCATCAATCAAATCTTGGTCTGGAGCATCTAGCTTCTTTGGACATGCGATTTCGTTTTTCCTGCATTTTTTTTTTTTGCCTCATTCGGTTCGTTGGAATTTAGCCCAGAAAAGAACCCCATGAAATGAAACGTTTGATTGATGCGCGCTTACTTCTTCCTTTCACATATTCTCTGCAAATGCGCTACTGTTATCTTAACTACTATTATCTGATTCCGATCCCTTAATATTGTATGCAGTTGATGTCATCATCTTGAAGTTGCAGTTGCAGTGGTTCCCAGCCTGCCTAATTTTCCTCATCGACTTTCCATCTGCAGAACAGGTCCATTTTTTCCTTAGTGGATACGGTTATCCATTTCCCAAACACTACGGGGTTGTTTGGAAGTTGCGATAGTTTTGTTGAGATTGTCATTATGCATGTATTGTTTACAATACATCATTTTTTTGTTTTTAGCACAAACAATACATGGATTGTTTATGTGATGTGACAGAAACTATCACTCATTTTGAGTGATTGTTATATCTCAACTTTTAGTTGTGATTGTTGAGACAGTTGAGTTGAGATTGTTTTATCTCAGCTTTTAGCTGATGCGACATACACAATCACACATACCAAACGTTGTATTCTACAATGCATCAAATTCGACAATACATCTATTTAACAATCGCAACTTCCAAACGACCCCACAACTTTAATGATTATATATATATATATATATACACACACGTCGATAATAAGTTTTGGGATGACTTTGGTAATGGTGACTTGTAAGTAGTTATCGTGATTTGAAGAAAATGGTTGATATCACTTCCGGTAAAATGATCCACCTGTTGGTGAAATTGGTGTATTATTTGGTTATAGAATGTTCTAGTGTTAATGGGTTTACATGTTTGTTGCTAAGAGAGCTTAAGCGAGTACAAAATTTTGGAGCATATACTAGAGGATTTTTTTGGGGTGATAGTTCACTCGCATGTTTGGAAAATTGTTCTCCATATTTGTTTTTTGGATGTTATCATTTTAAACTATCTCTGTGCAGACTTTTATCTTTTCTAGGGATAACAATTTTGATCTGATCCGTTTTACCTGATCTGTTTGGCCTGCTTTGAGGCGGGTCAGATCCACCCCGTAGGCAGGGCGGGTCGGGCATGGATACTCTCATCGACCCGACCTGTCCTGACCCGCCCCATTCTCGACCCGTTCTTGCCTAAATTACATGTAATCTTAGTCATACTACTTATGATTTTTCTTTTATTATATCATAATGTAGCTATAATAAAGTTGTAAATCAGTGAAAACCTCAATTTCTCTAATAATTTAACTATATTTATCATAATATTGTTTGTTTTCTTGGTCTTATAATAAAAATAAGGAATATTCCTAATGTTTTTCATATAAATTGCATACCCATTGGGTTGATCTATCACGACCTGCGACCCGTAATAAATTACCTGACCTGGACCCGATCTGTCGTCACGAGGCAGGTCTGGGTACCAAGAAACCCGTCCCGGACCTGCCCATTGCCATTCCTAATCTTTTCTTCAAATTCTATTTTTGTTTAGCTTGTGTATTTAATGCAGTAATTGTCTTGGGTTGTGATGGCTTTCTCTTCCTATTTTTGTTATGAAAATACTTTAAAAAGCATGGTATTGTTGTTATATACCATTTACGTGTATGGTTTTGATTTATTTATGAATTGATGTTTACGTATATAATTGTTAGTTTTGATTTTAGTCAAATATGGCAACTTTTTGGATCAAGTATATATTCAACCATCTATGTGAGTTGTATACAACCATATGCATGTTAGGAACAATAAATCAAATCAAAGCTGAGCATCGATGCATGCATGCCATTGATTCCTGCTGTTGCTTGCTTGCTGTATAGTTTTCGCTTCAAGCTGTTTCTTTCATGGAACAATTAGCATCGCCAATATCCTTGTTTGTTTTTTTGGTGGTTTTTGTGAAGAGATATGAAAATCCTTGGAAATTACCAAGACATGATCAAGGCATATGGAACAATGGAATTAAGCTGTGCCTCTCTCAAAGGGATTAAATCGAGTTGTTGGGAGTCCGTTTATCCTAGTAATTAAATCGAGTTGTTGAGAAGGTGTATGAATCTTTTATCATTCCTTATATGCATGCTTCTCAAATAAGACTCAATACATGAAGTTAAAGTTTGCAAATATCATCTCTCATATTATGTACTTAAATCAACCGCTGATATATATTGAGAGCAACAAGGGTTTGAACAGGAAACTCTGACCTGAATCAATTCCAAAGACTCAATAGGTACATACAGTGGTCAGTGGCAGAGGCAGAGAGAAATAGGGTGGATCTCGGACCTACCATGGTTTTGGATAAAAATATATATATATATATATATGGTGACGACTGGTGTACGTCAGGCGTATAGTATATGTCAGATTTCTTCACCGTTGATCTCATCTAACGGTCATTATTTACGATAATAAAAAATAATTATTTTTTGCAATTATAATTACCAGTTACACCCATTAAAATTATATACATACGATATAGTCCTCGAACAAATTTTATCGTTGCTTTTCATATTATAGTACCTTATTTTTCTGAATCGCTATTCGTCGCCCTAAATTTTAAATCTTTTCACCCTAAATCATATTACATTGACGTTTATACATTATTTACAATAGGGTTAATAGCATTTTGTACCCTTCTATTATGGTAAATTAACAAACATGCCCTTGTACTAAATTTTTGCACAAACATACCCTCCTAATATTAAAACGTAACGAGCGTACCCTTCCGTCTAATTTTCTGTTAAGTGACCGTTAAAAGGGCTGAGAAATGACCAAATTGCCCCTCATTTATTCCTAATTTTAATTTTAATTATTTTATTAAGTCAATTAACTTCATAAATCAAACCCTAAACTAATTCAAAATCGCTGTCCGTCTCACCCCTGGCGATCGACTTGGTTGCGGCGCCTGCTTCTCGCTGAACCTGCCTCTCGTCGACGATCACCGGAGCTTCAACGGCCGACCACGACTACGGCATGTCCTTGGTTCTTAGATCAAGAAGACTAATATAGCAATTGTCAGAGTAGCTATCTATAAGAGTTCTTTTCGTCCAACCAATGGAGTTGATTGGCGTGACCTAGAGACCATCAGGGAAATTCGTAGAAGAAATCAACATGCTTCCCGGTGAAATGATGCCATACGCCGATTCCGTCCGTACTCTTTGATTTTGTTTTTACAACCGCTGAAGGTTCGGTGGTTGGGATTTTGGATGTGGCGAGCGCTCCGGCAATAAAGCTCTTGACTTGATTGTCGTGGGTGACTTGGAATTTGAATCGGAGATGGTCGGAGGTTTTTTTTTTAAAGAACTAGTCTGCCGTCACCGCGGCCGAGTCGTTTGGGAGCTATAATGCGCGTATAAAATAGTAATGGGTGTTGTTAGTAATTATATTTGCTAATTAATAATTAATTAAATCATTATTACTAATGACCGTCAGATTAGATCAACGGTGTCAGGCATCTGGCGTATACTATACGCCTGACATACACCAGTATGAATATATATGAAATAATAATATATGCTAAAGATAGAAATTTTAATTTCTAATCTTATTGTTATTAATTTAAAGTATTTGTTAATTATTTACAATTTAAATTACATTGAAAATATGCATGATTTATAGGGGTGTTCAAACGGTTTGGTTACCGTGGTAACTGTTTTAACCGGTATCATTTGGATAATTTGGTTTGGTTAATTTGGATAATTGGTTTGGTTTGGTTAAAGTTTTTAGCTTGTTTGGTTTAGGTGGTTTGGTTTGGTTTCAGACACTCCTAACCAGTCAAACCAAATTAAACAGTTAAGTAATTAGTCATATATCTAACATAGATTATATACACATAATACTTTGCATAACCACTCAAGAGTTAACGTTCATCCCTTTTAGACTCATAAAATATAAAGCTCAATATTGCTCATATAGTGTATATTTGTATATGTAAAGTCTAGACCACAACATATGGACGCCTAATTTAGATAAATTTCATACATTATGATGAATGAAAACTTGAAAAGAAGGTCATTTCCAGCCTATGATAATTGCTAAGAGACTAAGTCAATTTACACAAACACAACAATTCATTAACCCATACCATTGTCATAATTTTTTGTTAGGTGAATACTTCTATACTAATCGTAAGATAATTGTCTTAGTTGCATGTATTTTTGTTAAGGGTCAACTATAACTACGTGTTGATTGTTATGTTTTATTCATTATATAAATTGAGAATTGTTGCATTAATCGGAAAATTTTCATCGTCAATGATAATGTGATTTTATATTGGTTAATCTGGTTAACCAATTAACCAAACCAATTAAACTTTAGTTTGGTTAATTTGGTTGTTGTATTAGTTTGGACGGTTTGGTTATGATATTGTATTCCATGGTTAATGGAATTTAACCTTATTTGGTTTGGTTATAACCATGGTAACCATTTGAACACCTAATGATTTATGATAATCCTAAGTTTCAAGTGCACGAATATTAAATACACCATAGTTATGTCTAAATAGTTCTTCAATAGCTTGAAAATCGTAATAGATGATTTGTAAACATTACGAATGATTGATTTAATCTTTCCAACAATTTTTACGGGTCATGTCGATGGGGCAAAGTACAAATGTAGTGCCACAAACGTACGATGAATGTCAAAATGTGCATGCAAAAAATTTTCAAAACACAAAACACGTTAGTTTCATCGTAACACCTTCCCACCAATAAGTGAAGATGGATTGAGATCGAGCAACTCTCTAAATTTGTCTCTGAATAAGTAAATCTCAATTTATCATTAGTGCATGGTGACAATTTCCCATTACCATTTTTAAACTATGTTTTGACTTGATCCATCGAAATGCCCCCTACATATTCACCAGAGAACACCACCATTAGACTAATCGTGAGCCAAATCAAGATATTCTTATTGCCAATCATAAACTAATAAACTAAGGTTGTGGCCAAGCTATATCATCATTTGAGTGGATACAAACTTGAGGCTGTTAATCAAAGTAAGATTCGCATATTAATTAGCTCAAGTCCCATTAGGCATTAGCCCCATTACCCTCTATGTCCAAAACCTTGTTTTCCTCTTTCATTGGTGGTTAATCATTTTTAAGCAATTGCACAGCCACAATGTTATCCATGTCAGCCTCATAATAACAACGCTTTATATAGAAAGGTACATATATACACTTGGATCCACGTATCTCTATCTAGATTCTAGAGTACCAACTAACTATTTTGAGTCGGTTGTCCAATTCGTTCGGGTTCTGATGGTTAACTGCTCAATTCGTCTTTCGATCAGTTGGCACAACGTAGGTGGTTAAATAATCGATATCTCTAATGGTCGAATCGTGGTTTTATAGGTCCAATCGATCAGTTCGGCTCGATTTTAACAAGGCAAACCAAAAGAATGACTTTCTTTTGTTCCCATTTGGTAGGGCTGGGAATCTAGACCAAACAGTATGGGCAACCGCGGTCTAGGCCGTATCGTAGGGTTTGGTCTGGACCGTGAGACCAGAACTATGGTTTGGTGTGGTTTGTGGGCTCCTTCTTTAGTGTGTGTGGTCTGGTCGGATTAATGACACAAATATTATTTTTTTTAATTTAGCACTAATATTGCAAATTTAAAAGTATTGACACAGATATTGTGTTTTTTAGTAAGGTTTGGGGCGGGACCACCTGAGACTCAGGCGGGACTGATTTTTTACCCAGTCCTGGGCGCTGGCGCCCCAGTCTCAAGCGGCCCCGCCTCAGTCACATTTTTGAATCAGTCCTAGGCGTTGGCGCCCGAGACTCAGGCGGGAGCGCCCAAGCCTTTTTTTTTTTAAATACCGACGGGCCCACCTTATCTCCTCTTCTTCTTCCTTCCTCTTCTTCACTCCTCCACACCACATATCCCACATCTCCCCCCCAACCCCGAACCAGAGAACCCTCTTGGTGCCTCCCGCCGCAACCGCTGCCGCCCAAGACTGAGGCGCCGCCGCCTTTGACAGAAGCGCCGCCGCCCTTGACTGAAGCGCCGCCGCCCGAGATGTCCTCCGACGATAAACCAGTCGCCGCCGGCAGAGGCAGAGGTTGAGGCCGGCGAGGTCGTGGTGGAGTCGGCGGCCGTTTGCGCGGTGAGACTCTCATCGGCGGCTTGATTTTTTTTAATGTTGTGTTTTTTATTATGTTTTGTTGCTTTGTTTTTGCAGTTCCTAGGCTTATGGATCCTTATTCGATGAGATTACCGCCGACGACAATTGATCCAAGTCCGGTCGATCCGACACTTCTTTGGGGACATGGCCAACATCGTATCGACTCTGTTTGGACAAACGAGGTAAGTATTTGATAATTATTCATGTAAAGTTAATTAGCTAATTAGATTATTTTAGGTTGTGAACTGAACTGTTAGGTGAAATTAGTATAATTTGAAATTAGTATAATTTAATGTTATATAAGACAGATTAGAATTTATTAGGTGAAATTAGAATTATTACGAATGAAAATGAATTAATATAAGTTTTGTGCACTATAGGCTGGTGATCGATCTTACCATGTTCGAGGTACGACCATTTTAGTACCTTATCATGAGCTTTATCGGCCATATCTCGAAGAGGCAGGCTTGTTAAGTGTCGTGCCCCTAGTCCCTATGAACCCCGATGCGAGTTTGATTACTGCGCTCGTAGAGCGGTGGCGCCCCGAGACGTCGACCTTCCATCTACCGTGTGGTGAGATCACGATCACGTTAGAGGACGTTGTTACACTGTCCGGTCTGGCGATCGACGGTGATGCCGTCGTAGTTGATATACCGGATGATGAGTGGTCGGCGATCTGTTTGAGACTGTTAGGACGGGTTCCGGCTGATCTTGTAGGCAGTGTCGCTGTTGTTAGGATTGTTTGGCTGAGGGTTGAATTCAATCATCTGCCGGAGAATGCATCACAGGAGGTTATAGAGCAGTTTGCACGAGCTTATGCTCTATCTCTGCTTGGAGGTGTACTTTTCCCGGATCGGTCTGGAGGTACGGTGCACCTACAGTACCTACTTCTGATTGAGGATTGGGAGAGAGCTGGACGGTTCGCCTGGGGAGCTGCTGTTTTATCCTACCTGTACCGTGAGATGGGTAGGTCGACTTTGCACATTACGCATACCACCACTTCTCTTAGCGATGACCTTGGTGGATGGGTCGCCATACTGCAGTTTTGGGCGTGGGAGCGATTCCCACATCTGGCACCTCGAGATTCCGAGACGAGGGCACAGGCCACCGAGGATGCATTCCCACGTGGTCTTCGATGGCTTTCGGCCAACAGTCGTCAGTATGGTGACCAGCTATTCCAGTACAAGCTGTGGTTTGACGCGATGGACACTGTGGTGGTTAGTATATAACATTTCATTTTATAGAATAGTTTTCATTTGTTTTATTTTTTTAGATTTAGGGATAATAACGTTAATTTTTTTGGTGTTTTTTAGTGGCAACCTTACCTTGAGAGAGCACTTCATCTCAGAGGTAGTGTGATACAGTCTGAGACATTTCGAGCAGTAGTGCCACTTATCTGCTTTTCATCGGTGATGTGGCATCATCCAGACCGCGTGCTCCGGCAGTTTGGCATGAGGCAGCATGAGCCTCATCCGCCACATCTTGAGGCTGAGGTTAGGTTTTTTCTTCGCCAGGCTACTCGTGGGCCATCGCGTGGGCAGCAGTTGGTACACGCCTCCAGAGAGTCGATTGCTTTCTGGAACCGTCGACACGAGTTTGTAGCGACGGCTCCATACAGTGATGAGGAGTTAGCATACCACTCGGAGCATATGGAGTGGTATAGAGATGCACCAGACGTTCCGGCACACGGAGAGGAACTGCAGCAGAGGCATTGGTTAGTTATTTTATTTGTTTGCTTAATTTGTTGTTAACTGTGTGACATATCTGACATTTTGTTGGTGTTTTTTAGTACGACACTATCGAGCATGCTGAGGTGAGTTTGCGTGACGGTGTACGGGCTGGAGGGCTGACCCCCGACCAGTGTGAGGACTTGGCCAACTTTATGGCATCCGGGGTTGCTACTCTAGGGTTTGAGCAGCGTAGATACCCTGATCTCACAGTACCTGTACAGCGCCATTATGAGGAGCCCGTCATGACTGCCTGGCCAGAGCGTACTGATCCGACACCGGGCTGGATCGTCCCAGAGCCACAGTTCAGACAGGAGCATAGGCCACGTACCAAACAACAACATCTCAAACAAACAACAACTTTTACATGGTAAATCAAAAGATAACAACAACATACCAAACAACAACTTTTACATGGTAAATCAAAAGAAATACAACAACTTCTACCACCTCTCAGCCACGTCTATTACCTCTACTTCCTCTTCTACCACCTCTCGCACTTCGTTGGCCACCACTCCCTCCTCGGTTGCTCCCACTCCCACTAGCTTGGCCACCGCAGGTTGATGCATTATGTCCCGTTTGGTTACAGTTGCTACACACTTGGTGTGATGCACCCTCCCTTGGCCAGTCCATCTCGTTGTGAATCCTTGTAACTCGTGGCCTCCCCGGATTCCTAATCATGTGCACATTAGGATGGAGAATAGGACCATTATGCTTCTTCCAACCCTTAGGTTCACCAAGAGGTGTGAAACTTGTCCCATAACAAGCCATCACTGTTTCCAGCTTGTAGACATCGTTGACAAACCTATACGCATTAGCCCCCATTCGGTTGCAAGCTGCAATGGCATGAGAGCAAGGAATTTTATTTCCTTGAAATTTACCACAAGTGCAAAATCCTGCCCGGTTTTGATCGTCAAAGTGAACTGTGAGTGTGTTTGACCCCGTCATGTTGAAATTGTTGGGAGGAGTATGAACTACATAGATGCCTTGACTTCGATCAAGAGCTGTCACAGAATGTCCAATTGCCTTTTGTGACCTGTACTTCATCAGCTCTTCGCACTTGGTGGAGTACTGTGAACCGCCACTTCTAATTTCTGCTCCTGTCTCCAACCTATACTTATCGAATTTCTCCACCAATCGCCAATAGGTATGCTGCACAAGAGAAGCTATAGGAAGTGCACGAATACCTTTGAAAATACCATTGACGCTTTCTGCCATGTTGGATGTCAGGATAGACCAACGAACCCCACCATTGTAGTTATCATGTGCTAAACTCCAACGAATCTGATGTTGATCCACCCAGTTATCACATGAAATATTTCTATCAGCGGCCACCTTCTTAAATTGCTCAACTTGACGATCAAACTTCTCCAACCATTTTTCTCCGGCTAACAAAATAAACCACAACACGGGTTAGATAAATTCATGACAAAATTACATGAAAACAAATAACAAAATTAAATGAAGAAAGCTTACCGACTCGAAATAGTTGATTATACATAATTTTGCTTTTAGTCTTCCTTTGCAAATTGCTTGCATAGTGTCGCATGCACCACCTCCACTCCCAACCTCTTCCGATGTTATTCATGGCTTCATAGAGTCCTGCATGTCTATCTGAGATGATGCATACATCATTTCGATCAGTCAAACCCTGAACCTTCCTCATGAACCATGGCCAACTCTCAGTATTCTCGCTCTCCACAATGGCAAATGCAATTGGAAAAATCTTCTTCCGGCCATCAAATGAGCTCGCCATGAGTAGCACTCCTTTATACTTCCCAGTAAGAAATGTTCCATCCACAACCATGACGCCTGGACAATTCTTGAATCCATCTATACAAGGTCCATAAGCCCAGAATACTCGCTGAAATATTGAATGACCTGGTTGAGTCGAAGGAACTCTTACCCAATCAATCACCGATGTTGGCATTTTTCTCTTGACCACCCGCAAGAATGTTTGCAAAAAATCGTAGGATTCTTCCCAATTTCCATGCAACTTCTCTAATGCTCTTTGTTTCCCATACCAAGCCTTCTTGTAAGTAACTTTCATATTAAACTTATCTTTCAACTCGGCTTGAACAGTTAGAACACTCAGATTTGGTTGGGCACGTACCAAATGTTTGAGGGCCTCAGATATCATGTCGACATCAAGATGGTGATGATCCGTCGGTTGAGTCGTACTGCTACAAGAATGCACCAACTCAGCCTTTCTCACAATCCATTCGCCCCCAACATCTCGACATCCAAACCGCACCATCCAAGGACAATTGTCATCCTTGTGCCTCAAGCATCTGACCTTCCATATTGAAGGTGACGACTCCACCACGCCATATTGAAAGTTGCGTTGTAGTGCGTGGTGTTTAATCGCCATCTGTGCAGCTTGTTTCGAGTGAAATATCTGCCCCTTGTAGAATTCTCCTTCAAAACTATCAACAATAGGCATTGGAATTACGGCATATGAATCAGCAAGTGATAATTCTTCGTCCTCTTCATTACCCTGCAAGTAAAAATATGGAGGATAATTAAGCTGCTCTCCTTCCTCCTCCTCCTCCTCCTCCTCCTCCTCCTCATCATCATCATCTTCCTCCTCTCCGTCATCACCGTCATCATAGTCATGATCGGATGGCACGCTGCATGTATCATCTTCTTCATCTCCACCCTGATCCTCACTGAGCTCAACATGTATCTCAGCACCCAAACAATAAGGATTTTGTGCCATAAAATTCCAAAGCACATTCAAGCTATCATCATCCACAATAGGTATCGCATAATGAAATAAAACATCATTCTGCCATTCTGGAAGACGGTAAGTGAAACCTGTGATCACATCACTATCTTTTACTGCTTCGTCTCTGTGCCGTATTCTCGGAATTAGATTCTCACAAAGTTTGTGATATGTGACTCTGGATGGAACCGTCAACGAAAAACTACTACCACCAACGAATTTGACGCCCAAATTATCCTCTACTTTCTCCGATTTCCACCGAACAACTAGTTCAAATCTTCTAAAATCACTACAAAAAAACAAACTCACTAATTAAAACTAAACACAATCATAATAGCATTTGAATAATATAATTACAAAAATAAATGTACCTCTTACCTATTAGCCTTTTTTGCAGCAGCAACAGAACTCTCTTCTCTATTTTGGACGATTTTTTTTGTGGTGTGAATCTGAAACGAAATTGTCTGGGTTGGTTTTATAAGGTGGGTGGCCATCAATAAAGCCAGCGGTGCCGCCTCAGTCTCGGGCGCCACCGCCTGGGATTATTTCCCACCTACTCGCCTGAGTCTTGAGCGCCGCCGCTGCCAACTAAATAAAACGGTCCAAAAACCAAGCTAAAGCGGCAGCGCCTGAGTCTCAGGTGGCCTCGCCGATTCTTGTCTCTAAAACACAATATCTGTGTCAATACTTTTTAATTGGCCATATTAGTGGTAAATTAAAAAAAAAACAATATTTGTGTCATTAACCCCTGGTCTGAAGTGGTCTGGACCGCGGTCTACCGCAATAAACCGTAACAAACCGCGACACACTCTCTACTAA